CCAGGAGCTTGGTCCTTGATGATCCTAATGGGGTTAGCTGAGATGCACCCCCAGGTTCCTCCACTCCAGCTGAGTTGGGGCTCCCAGCCCTGCAGAGCCCCCAACGCCTCCATTCGAGTTTAGGTCCTTGGCAGCTGCTCCCTGCTAGGCCTCACCTCACTCTGTACCTTCCAGGCCCAGGCTTCCCCCGAGGCCTCCCAGGACAGGCCCATAAGGACCTTGAGGTCTCTCCTCTCTGCAGATGTCCTCTGTAGTGCCGACTGCACAACTTCCTGCCACTTCAGCAGCCCAAACTCCCACCTTCTCTGCTCGGTTGAACCTCTGCAGTCTGTGTGGGCCCCCGCCCTCTCTTCTGCTTCACTTTAGAATGTGCTCCCAGGAGAAAGTGAGACAAACTTGGGGCTCTGGGTCCTGTGTGTCTCCTTCCCTCAGGGGTCACAATCCCTCCCCGTCCTTGTCCAGGGCCAGGAAATGGTTGTCTTGGTCTTGCTGTTCACTTCAGTTTTAATAACAGAGAGAAGGCAATTAAGATACTTAGGGGGTTTTGAAAACACAGTTTCTTTGAGCCCCATCTAGAGAGATTATGACTCATGGTCTGGGCTGCAACCTGGGAATTTCTATTTTAAACTTTTGGGAAGATGCTGATTCAACACCTCATTTGGGACTCACCACTGTCAACCCCACTGGGGTATAAATGGTGCCTCTCCTTCTTCCGGGATTTTCAGAACTTTTCCACTGGACTGAATGGCTCCACACTGTGGGTTTGCTGCCTTAATGGTAGGGGTCCTTCCAATTGTGCTGTATACATAGGAGCTGCGGACCCTGGGCAAGGAGGTCATCTGAAGGTGAGCCAGGCTCAGCCCCTCTTTCCTCTGGGTCTTCCACTCAGTCACCCCCCAGGAGATGTTCACTCACTCACTCTGCATCTGGGGACCATGCAGCCTTTGAGGTCCCTCCCTATGTGGCTCCTGGGCCTCCAGGTAAACTGCCTTGTTGCAGCTATTAAACCTTCCCTGAAGGCTCCCAAGAGCCAGATCTGGGACTGAGGAGCCCAGGTCCACTGCTCACTTCACCATTAATGGTAATTGATGAGTTTTAATCACTATGCCACACAGGGAAATATGGCCAGGCATCATTTCAATAAGGAAACCCATCTATTTTTGTACCTCGGCCCTCATCTCTGCAGCATCCTCTCCAAATCTGTTCCAAACACCTCATTAAATGTTTAGAGAGAAGTTCACAGACATCCTTTCCTCCCTACCCCAGACAGTCATCTCCAAAATCTGAGGTCCTAATTATCGAAAAACTCCAGCCAGGCTGGCTTTAACAAGCAGGGCAACTTTGCAGAATTCACCCAGATGAACACTTGCACTACTGATGCAGTTGATGGGGTCAGTTCAGGATTTTGTAGACACACTGTGCTCACCTGCTCATACTCAGTCCTTGTTTTATTTGCTCATTCACCAATCTCTTCATTTGTTTGCATATTAATCCATGCATACAGCCATAAAATATGGAATATCTGACCTTTTGATGTGCTAGACCGCACTTGGCTCCAAGGATATGGAGACTGATAAGCATTCATTTACCCATTTGTTTCATGAACCATATTAGGCACTTACTGTGTGCCAGGTAATCTGCTTGTTATCAAGGATCAGTGGTAAAGATGACAGCCAGGCCACCACGCTCTTGATTCATTTTGTAAATGAAGGGAGAATACAAAAAAACAATTAGTAAGAAAATAAATAATATCATATTGAAATACTAAGAGATATGATGGAAATGGAACAGGGCACAGGATGAGAGAATGTTCGGTGGCAGAGAAGAACAGTCAGAGACTTTTCTCTGTGGAGTGACATTTGAGACCTAATTGATAAGACACAGTCAATTGGGTGAAAACTCAGAGAAAGAATGTTCCAGGCAAAGGAAATAGCAGATGCAAAGCCCCCAACAAATGTGGTATGACTTGAATGATGTGGAAGAGGAGGAAAAAGATGAAACTAGAGAAGGTGCCACACAGGGGCTTAAGGATTGGGAAAAGCTTTTGAATTGTTTCTGCCTGGAGACTTGTCTATTCTCCCTGATGACTGTATGTAGGCATTTATAGCCACATGGACTTACATATTTATTTTATTATACCTTGAACTATAATCCAATATTACTTTATTAATTGTGTTGCTCAACTTACTCCAGATTTGGCCATTGGTTGCTGTGTGTTGAATGGGCTCTGCGTGTGTGTGTATGTTAGTATTTTTTTCACTTTAATATTTTCTTACTTTCTGGCACTATAAGATGTTCCAGGCTAGTAGGCCCATTGGGCTTTATTCCAAGTGCAAAGGGAAAACATTGGATCCCATCTGCCTGACATGGCAAGGCTCAGTGATCTCCTTTCATCAAGCAATTGACCAGATCTCAAAATAAGGTCATGGGTCCTTACCCGTGTCTGTTATCTCTGGTCTTTCTGGTGGACCCACCTTTACTGTCCAAGGAGGGACCAGGAAGGAGGAAGGAGGCGAGTTGGTCTGATGTGCTATTCTGTGCTTGTGCTGCAGAGATGAACACACATGCACACACACACACACACCCCTCCACACACACCCCGGTGCACAGGCGCCTGCAGCATGCACAGGATTCTGAAAGCAGGGACGAAGTCCTGCTAGCAGCTCACCACACCTCAGTTATTGGTGAACAATTAGGATTAACTGAAATCAGCCTGATTGATTGGTTCGCATAAACCTTCATTGCCTCAGCTGAATTGGCTCTAATGGACCTGAGTCTGGAGGAAGAGATGCAAATGGAGGTCAGTTCTGATGTTCAGGGGGACTGACCCCACCAGCACCCCTCCCTTGGCCAGAGTTTGAACTTTTCTTGATACTGAACAGGGGGTTCCAAGTGGAGGACCTTTGGTGAACGATGGTCTTGACTTCCTTGGTATATGGTGTGTGCGTGGGGTCCACCTCATGACTCTTATCAACTGCTGCCTGTGGTCAGTGTCTTCATGGTCTAAACTTCTTAGACTTCTGTCTGCCCCTCCTTGGTTCTAACTGTCCAGTCCTGCTCACCCAGTGCTCTCAAGTGGTGAGGTGCCCTTGAGTCACACAGGGATTTTGTTAAGATGCAGATTCTGATTCAGCAGTTCTGGGATGTGCAGGTGACAGTGATGATACTGGTCCACAGGCCACACATGAGTGGCGAGATCCTGGACCACTTCTTCCCTTGTGTTCACCCTTCTGCCCTCTTCTTTTCTTTTTTTTTTTTAAGATTTATTTATTTATGCATATAAGAGCTGGGGTACAGGCCAGAGGTATGGGGGGTGAGAGGATTCACCAGAGACAGAGTGGGGAACAGAACAGGCAGACTGACTGAAATACAGTGCTGAGGGGAGCAGCGGGTGAGTCACAAGAGGTCTGCTGTGCCATGTGGGTAGCTACCTGGCTGGGGATCTGTAAGTGCCAGACTGGACACAGAGCAGGTTTTCTGATCCCATGCAGACCGGGTAAAGGAGGAGTCAGAGTCCTCAGTAGTTTTGCAGGTTTTTTATTGGGGTTCACCAGGCATATGGCAGGCAGGGGTGCTGGCTGGGCCTGCCAGCCTCCCAGGCCCCAGCAAGTCTTCACTCTATCTGGGCTCTCTAGCGTTCGTTCTGCTGCTTCTCGGCTTCTCTTTCGGCTTCTGCTTCGGCTTTTACTGCTGCTACTGGTGCTGCTACTGCTGCTGCTGCTGCTGCTGCTGCTGCTGGAGTCCCCGTGACGCCGCCCTTAAAAGCACAGTCTTAGCTTAGCTGAATCCCATCTACCTATGCCCACACCCTATTCCAGGTGCCCGCCATCAGGCATGCATTCAGGACAAGGATCCATCATCTATCCTGATGGCGGAAGGGCAGAAAAGCCTGACATTTTCTTTACCCTACAGGATCAAATGGTGCTGTAGTGGCTGTGAATAGCTTCATAGGTTGCGTCTTAACCCCTTGCACCACCAGGGAGGCCACACACACCTACTCTTGAATGTGCTCCAGGGCCCTTTCCAAATGAAAAGAGTGAGTTCTATTTCCTCCAAGGGCACAAGACCCAGGATTTTATCAGGGTCTGTTCAATACCAGAATGAATGCGGAAGTGCACAAATACTTAGGTCTTTGTTTCGTAAGTTTGTAAACCCACTGTTCTCATTTTCCCTTGGTGCTGAGGAAGAGTATTTCATGCAGTTTCTTTCCAGATAACCTGATATGGTTACTTCTCTGGGTTTATACCCAAACATTTCCACAATTATTTAAAACCACCAGATATTGAAATGTATGTTGACTCTTTCAGGTATAGAATTTAGTTTTTATCTAAGTTTTGTGCTTCATGCCTTCAAATTAATGATAACGAATAATAACTGGGAGATTCTGAATGTTTAGTGAAAACTGGGTAATCTGCTAAACCCCACACACATGTTATCTGATTGAAGCACCCAATAACCCAGGGAGGTGAGTGTCACCGCCATTTTATACCCATGGGAACTGGGACACAAACAAGTTTTAAATAATCTTTCCAAGGTCACATAGCTCATGACTGACAGAGCTGGGACTCTCTTCCAGACAGTCTGAGAGAAGCTCTCACTCCCTTAACCAACTTGTGGTATTGGCCAAGGCTCATTGGCTGCTCCTCTGGCCCTCAGGAGCTTGATGTGCTTTTTCTCTAAGAGCATGGTGGTCTGGGGAGGGAAATGTAACTTCGGAAAATATTGAAACTTCCCCAAATCATTTCTTTTCTCACAATGGACATTTTGCCCTACTAAGCCTGTCAACAACCCATTTGCGCAATCTCTGATGGGCTCAAGATCATCTTTTGTATCGTGACTATCTCCCTTGGGTGTTAGCACACCACAAGTGCATATTCTTCAGTAATATTAACTATGTAATAATACCTATGTATTCACTATGTAATAACTACATAATAATGCCTACTATTTAATAATGCCTACATGTATTACTTTACATATACTTATCCTCACAACAGCCCTAAAAAGTAAGATTTCTCCCTCCTATTTTAAGGGTAAGGATTACATACTTTTCCAATTAGCTGAATTACTTTTTCCAATTAGCTGCGATGAATTGCTCTACTTTCTTTGCTTTGCTTTCTTTCTCAAAAACAGTGATTTCTGATCTGTCTCTAAATTACATTTTCAGATTTATTTCCTTTCACACATCTTTTCTTTTGCTAAAGTGTTATCTCACTACTACTAAGATACACCTCACACCTTTGTCCTTGCTGTTCTCTCTATCTAATTGCCATTTAAATATGGAGAGATTTGTAACACCAGATCAATAATCCTCATTATGCAGCAATCATAGTCTGCTTTATGACATAATTAGGTACAACCTTTTTTTTTTTTTTTAAAGATTTATTTATTTATTTATACAAGCACTGGGTACAGTCAGAAGCACAGGAGAGTGAGAGAATTCACCAGAGCCAGAGCAGGGAACAGAATAGGCAGACTGATGAAGTAGACTGCTGAGGGGAGCAGCGGGCGGCAGGAGAGGTCTGCGCACCATGTGGGACCCTCGCCCGGTGGCAGGGGATTGAACCAGCGCTGCAGAAGCACAACCCAGCGCTCAACCACTGTGCCACCAGGGAGGCCCAGGTACAACCTTTTTTTTTTAATAGATTGTGGTTGATGATGTGTGGATCTCTCTTTGTTACTTTTGTAGCTCTTTCTTTAAAAAAATTATTTATGCATACAAAAATGGGGTGTAGACCAGAAGTGTGGGAGGTGAGAGGATTCACCAGAGACAGAGTGGGGTACAGAACAGGCAGACTGACTGAAATATGCTGCTGAAGGGAGCAGCAGGTAAGAGAGGAGAGGGCCACTGCCCCATGTGGGTAGCTCCCTGGCAGGCCAGGGATCGAACTCATGCTGCAGAGGCTGTGAACAGCTTCACAGTGCTGTGCTTAACCCCTTGCACCACCAGGAAGGCCCCTAAGCTCTTATTATAAACACCTAGGCTGACATATAAGTATATGTATATTTCTTTTTTCTTTTCAAAGTTTTATTTATTTATTTGTTTGTTTATTTATTTATTTATTTGTTTGTTTGTTTATTTATACAGCACTGGGTACAGTCAGAAGCACGGGAGGGTGAGAGAACTCACCAGAGCCAGAGCAGGGAGCAGAGCAGGCAGAAGGACCGAAGTACACTGCTGAGGGGAGCAGCGGGCGGCAGGAGAGTTCTGAGCGCCATGTGGGACCCTCCTCCGGTGGCCGGGGAGCAGCAGGGGATCGACCGGCGCTGCAGAGGCTGCAGGCAGCTTCGCAACCCAGCGCTCAACCGCTGCGCCACCAGGGAGGCCCAAGTATATGTATGTTTCTATGTGCTCTTCTGCATTTCTCAGACTCCCTTGCAGCTAGGTGGGGTCATGTGACTGGATTTGCATTACTAGAATGCGAGTAAAAGTGATGCAAGTCACTTCCAAGTGCTCTATGTCTAATTAATAATAACTGGCATTGACCCAATGGTCTGGAGGCTCCTTGGCTGATGGATAACATCCAAGATAGAAGTGGCCTGTGTCCCTGCATTGTCACCTGGAAAAGCTGTGCAAGGGAACTACTGAACCCACACTTCACTTTTCTGAATGGGGAAAAAAACCCTTTCAATGTGATTTAAGGGATTTCTATTGCAAGAACTGTCCTTAACCACTTGACTAACAGAGGTGGTGTCCGTACCTGCTTGATGAATAAATTAACACCTGAAGGAAGTCAACAATAGGCATGTCAGGCTTGTATTTTGCTGAGTGATTTTACTTTTGATCACATATTCTACCTCTACTCACACTTTTCCGTGCAGAAAATAAAATGTCATGCCATAGACCAACCACAAGAACAAACAAGCTTTATGTTGCTGTAATCAGTGTTTAAATATTTATATTTATCCCTCCTTTTAAAAAATATGTTTAACTTTATTTGTAATCCAGAATACTAAGATTAAGCATTACTAAGAAACTGCTAAACCCATTAAAGTTGCAAAATCATGCAGTCTTTGACTAAGGGTAATGAAAACATACTTCCCTCTCCTCCTTTCCAAGTGTAGAAGATTCCAGGCTTGTTGCCTCATGGGGCAGCAGCATTGGGAGCCGTGTGGCATAAGGGAAAGATTGCTCAAAGCCCATGTGAAGCAATGAGAAGCCTAGGGGGCTACACCAGAAGTAAAGTGCAGGCCTGATCCAGTGGGTGTCTTGTATTTATTAGCATCAAGCACAAAGGTGGGGTAAGTATGTGTGGAGTGTACATGCCAGGGGGGTATATGCATGGGGATGTGTTATTGGGGGTGCAAGCTAGGGCGAAGTAAGCAGGCGCTATTGCCTGGGGGCCTCCATTGTTTCTGCCAGTCTTATCATATTATCTCTACTCTAACATGTGCCTGCTGTTTTTAGCAGATATTGGTTTCCCAGTATGTTTTTCATACCAGAACTTTTGCCCTTGGTGAGAGCCCCCTGCATGACCCTACACCTAGGTGACAAGCAGAAACTTTGGGCACCAAGACTCTTTCTGTGCAAATAAGGAGGGCAGGGGATCCCACACAGGTTTGGGTGACTACCCAATACTGTCATCTTAACATGAACACTGTTGTCCCATCAATGGTGAATTCCTTTATGCCAGTGACATGTGTTTATTACTTTATTACTTTATTCCATAGATTCACTTAGTGATTCCTGATTTGAGGCCTACAAACCAATTTGGGGCTGCACAATTTCTTAGGTCTTTGTTTAGTAAATTTGTAAATTCACTATTCAGCATTTTCCCTTTGGTGCTCGGGAAGGATGTTTCTGGTAATTTCTTTCCAGGCTACATTAAATGACAAGAGGAAATGTCTGGGTGATTGGAAATGAGTCTTTCCCCTGGAATTGCTCCAAGCCCATCTTCAAAGTATTCAAAGCTCTTCTTACAATGGCCTAATGGCCATTTCCTCCACCAAGGAGCAGGCCTTTGTTAATGTCTTGTTAAGTTGAGAAGGAATCAGGAGGTATTCCTGGAGACTACCTTATTCTTGGGTTCTCCTGCCTGATCAGTTCTTGATTCAAGAGACCTCAGGTTTATAGTTGCTTGCTGATTTTGACTTTTTCTTTATTGTAATTAGTCTTTTTTCTGGTCCCTTATTTCAGTTTTCTAGATTCCTGCTATGAGTGAGACCATCCGGTAATTTTCTTTTTCTTTCTGGCTTATTTTGCTGAGCATGATCCCTTCCAGCGCCATCCATGTTGCTGCAAATTGCATGAGAGACACACTACGGGGTTGGGGTGTGGGGAGAAGAGGAGGGATTAGGGTCAAAATAAGGGGGAGGGAATTGTATGGGGACTATAACCAAAATGAAAATGCATGCTTTGTGCAAAAATGAAAATTGATGTAAGAATTATATAAAGTGAAATAATTTTTTAAAAAACAGTCCTCAAAGGACAGAACTGGCCCATATACAGTCCATCTTGGAACCCAGGAAACAGCTAGAAGCATTTTGAATCTGGGCTCCCTGAGTCACGGACTCTGGATATGGACTAGCAGAGGTCAGGGTACATGCTGAATGAATGAACCAGTGAACAAATGACTATCATAACATGCCGCACTAGTTTAATGTTGTGTAGCTCACAAGCTACTTGGACACATCATTTTGTTTATTTCTCACAATCACCACATTTACATGTGGAAAAAGACTAAAACCTCTGGCCACCATTCTTGAGAACCCCTATAATCTTGTTTTTAAAGATTTATTTATTTATGCATACAAGAACTGGGGTACAGGCCAGAGGTGTGGGGGATGAGAGGATTCACCAGAGACAGAGCAGGGAGCAGAACAGGCAGATCTACTGAAATACACTGCTGAGGGGAGCAGCGGGTGAGTCAGGAGAGGTCTGCTGCGCCATGTGTGTCACCTCCCTGGCCGGGGATCGAACTCTTGCTGCAGTGGCTGCGGACAGCTTCATAATGCTGACACTTAACCCCTTGCACCACCAGCGAGGCCCCACCCCAATAATCTTGCTTTGCCGATCTCTTTGATTTATTTCCTACAACACTTCCCCAGCCCATGCTGTAGCAGACACACTGGCGTATTTCTTAGATACTCTGAGCAAGTTCCAGATTCGAGGTCTTGGTACCTGCTCTCCCCTCCACCCAGGACATTCTTTCTCAGATAGTCACAGGGTTCACTTCTTGGCTCAAGTATCACTTCCTCAGGGAGGTCTTTCCTGTCCACTCTTTCTGAAGCCGTGATCTCCACTCACACATCCTCACTCCAGCCTGTGTTTACTTACCTAGGGGGATAACAGTACACAGCCACTGTGAGAATTACATGAAATCATTGATGTAAAATGTTTAACCCAGGGCCAATCCATAATGAGTGGTCAATAAATATTTGACACTCTTGAAGTTGCTGTTATTATTATTCTCAGGTCTTCCAACCACTCTCCTTCTAACAGCCTCTGCTGTACCAAAGGTACTTCCTAGGAACTCATGACAAATTTAAATTGGGGAGCACCTCCACCCCCACTAATGGGAGAGAATGAAGGAGTCAAGGGGCACTGCACATGTGTGGCAGGCATTCTGGTTCATTGTTCCAACTTGGTCACCAGCTCCTGCAGCATCACTCAGAGGCTGAGTCATTGGGAAATTATTTTCTTAGTATATGATGCAAGTTAAACCCAGAGGAACTAGGCAATTGTTGAAAGACCTCCCAGCTCAAGGAAAGAAAAAGAGGAGACTCGAACCTCCAACAAAAAGAGATTTAAGTCCCTGGGGTATATTTTTCTAGAAAAATATGACTCTCCCAAGCATGTTCTCACTCTCTTTTCCATGGCGTCTACATCTGGGGCAGAGCAGACATGCCCTGACCACCCTGGGCTACTGGAGATGCAGACCCCACGCTCCCCTTCCCAAGGACCATCACGCACTCATGCATGCTCAGACCACCCTGGCTTCATGTCAATATAAATGTATTTAATATTGGTATTTTCTTTTCTCCTGAAAATCATATTATTTACTAGCTGCATTGATTGCAGTCATGTTTACATTGGTGACAAAGTAATTTATCTCATTGGAGTAGTCTGTGCGGAGGTAGCAAAGGGCCTGCTGGAAGCTAAGATATTAGCGAGCTTGCATCAGCCCCATCTTGATTAGCAACAAAGTCACCCAAAATCATATTTTTGAGCAATATTAGCTACATGGCTAATATTGACACCCTGAGACTTGTCCACGATGCAGGGAACAACCAGAAGTCTCTGGAGAAGTTACCCAAAAGGCAGCCTGCTCAAGGAGCATGAAGGAAGAGCAGAGATGGAGCACCCCAGAGGATCCACACTGTAGACACAGGTGTAAGGCACAGAGCACCTCATCAGTGTCCAGTAAATGCCAGCACTTGTCAAGCTGTGGGAGGACAAGAGTGGCAACTTGATCTCTGATGCTCCTAAATCCTGTGATTCTATCAAACCGAGACCCTGTGCTTGTGATTCTGGGATTTATACATAACAAGAAAGGCTCTTAGGACCCAGTCAAGCTGCCTTTATGGAAACGTTAATAAAGTGATAAAATTTTAAAAAATGTATCTTCAAAATTTCCAACTAGTCCTCCCTCCTATAGAGCTGGTACCAACCTCCTTCAGGCAATGCCCCATTTTCCAAAGACCCACCCCACAGAGTAATAGAAATAAGCCCACTCCCTCCATCCAGATAACCCCCCTGAATATTTGACAGCACTGAGCCCTCCCCTACAAGTTCCACTTCTTTCTATTGAGACTTAAGGAACGAAATACGTGCTCACTTTTCTCAGGCCCCACTCCAATGAATCAGTCTCTCTTACTATAGAGTGTCCACAAAGGAAAAAAAATACTTATTTCACTTATACATATTCAACAAAGATTTACTGGGCACCTTCTGTGTGCAGAGGACGATGCCAGGTATTGGGGATCTACTGCAGAATAAAACAGACAGAATATCTACTCTTGCAGGCGCCATTTGCATGGTGGGCAACCAAAGAATCACTCAAGTGAATTCACTCTTACAAACAGCACTGACTGAAGGAAAACTGATAGGTGTGCAGAACATGACAAGAGGACCTGGTGTGGCAGGCAAGTCGTCTGATGAAATTTAGTAGTCAAATTGAAGTTACCCAGGCAACATGGGAGAGGAAGACAAAGTTGCCATGCAGGCAACTTTGATGGACAACAATGGGACAGTCAAGGAACAGAGAATAAGGCGGTGTAACTGGGACAGATACCCAACACGTGGGGTCTCCCTGTGAGGCTCACAGGGTCACTAGCTGCAGAAGCCTGAGTCAGAACCTGATTCAAACTGGCCTAAGAATAAATGTGGCTCACATGACTGAGAGTTAAACCGGGGATCTAATCTGAGGTTCAACGTGGTCTGGTTGAACTTGAGGTTCAAACCAGGCAACAGAAAATCAGCTCCTGCCTCATCTCTGCTTTCCTCATCATTGACTTTGTTCTCAGGTAAGCTACCTCCCTAGGGGAGTTCTGACACAGGGGGAATGTTAGTGACACCCTTAAACCAAAGGCATTGAGAAGAAGGAAGAGATGGCTGCCTGAACCACAGAGGGAGGACAGAGTGGCAGGAACACAGTCTACTACCACCCCCTTCTGTGTGCAGGTATTAAGCTCCTAGTGTATGAATAGAGACTGTTGGGGCCACTCCATGCAGCAGCCCTTTTCCTTCCCTGGAGATCTGAGTCCTTCTTGTCCCTGCCCCCATACTGTCCTCCATCTCACTTCTGTTGGACGGCAGCACAGACCTTCTCTTTTCCAAATGTTCATTCTGAAGAGTTCTCATTGGCACATCTTCTGGCGCCAAAGAAATTGTCTGTCGTGATGGAGCTGCTTGTCAGGGGAGATGGACTGTGCAAGAGTCTGATCTCATAGCCTTCCAGGGGTATGATGATGCTTAATGACCGCTCCTCACCAAAGGAATTACAGCAAGAGCGGGGATAACAGGTCGTGGGGGTGGCAAAGGGGTGTGAGTTGCCAATGTGGAACAAGTGGAAATATTGATCCAGGTCAAGGTGAAGTGAAAATGTGTGTTATTTAAAAGCCAGGCTTTCCCTCTCTGTCTTGCAAATGAGCTGGAGAGTGAATTAATAAATGAAGAAGCAAGGGCCGATATGAGGCGCCATTTCTTATGGAGAAAATCTCCTTGAGACACAGCAAAAAGGGAAGGCGATCTGGTAAGAAATGGACCAGGTATTGGGGATCTACTGTATCTCAGTTTCCTTGTCTTTATACTGAAGATAAAAGCAAATAGCTCCCAGAACTGGTGTAAAGGTTAGAGGCATTATCACATAGTGGTACAGCGGGGCCTGAGCCACCAGTCAGCTATTATTTACACACTTTGCAAATGGAATGGTGAGGATTGTGGTGGCGCAATTTGCTCCGAGCTGCCCACCCAGAATGGTGTTGGGATAAGAGGCTGATCTCCAGCCTCCTGGCCAGCAGATCCCTGTCCCTTCTTTCATCTCTAGGACTTTTGTCCCCAGGGTCCCCTGTGTGAACGTGGGCACCTCCTCCCCAATCACACAACGACCCAGCTCACCTGCCCCAGGGAAGCAGAGTGGATCAGCCCTGTTTGTTGCGTAGCTGTGGCCACAATTCCTCTGCTACCTTTGTGGCTTAAGGAACAGAAAGTCTTGACTCTAACTTGGGATCTCTCCATGACTCACTGGGTCCCACTCTAGGTGTCAGCTTCCCCAAGAGGATCAGCATCCCCTAACGGGTCCTACTGTCTCTGGGGTCTAGGACCGTGTGAGCCAGCCACTTGCACCCTTCCTGTCTCTCTCCTTGGTCCCAAGGTCAAAGACCTGCGATGCCTCCTTCGGCCAGCAGACTCCCCTTTGCGCAAGGAAGCCTGGGCTGCCGAGCTCTCTGAGTCAGCCAATTGCACCGCAGAAGCCACAGCACAGACTATGACTCCTTACGAATGGCTGTGCTGTGTGCTTAATGCCAGGCTTCCCGGGCAGCCAGGACCCACTGGCAAGTGAGCAGTGAGGCATCGCAGCCCCGCCCCCTCCGTCCATTAGTGGGCCAAATGGGTGTTTTTCTGGCAATGATTAGACTTAGCTTTGTTAGGTTTTATTGGTTCTCTTTGCAGTTTTCCCCCAAATGGGTCATAATATTGGGTTCTCTGGAGTTTGCATCTCAGGCAAAAATGGATACATGTCAAGTGCTAGAGGGAGGTCTAATAAATACTAAATTCATAAAAGAGCTTTCCATAAACCCTCAGAAGATGTGTCGGAGAGAAATTGAGAAGGAAACTGCTGAACAGAAAAGTGTGAGCGCTCACTGGCTGTAAACTCAAACAATAGACACAGAAAGGACAATAGAGCTGTGGAGAGAAGGGACAATTTTAGGCTGCCTTGATGGGCGATGCTGACTGCCTCTACGGAGTGATGACCCCACTGTTCTATAACTGATCTGCCAACTAGGATTTCTTTGACAGAGAGTATCAGAAAGCCTGACTCCACTGGCTTAAACCGGAAAAGAGAAAATTCATTGATTCACTTAACTTATCCACAAGTAGACTTTATCCATAAGCTCTATGTATCCATAAGTAGACTTCAGATTCACTTGACCCAGGGTGCAAATGACATGCCTACATTCTCCCCATTTCTTAGCAATGCTTTCTGGAAATGGGGTCTATTCTCAGGCAAATTCTCACTGGTCTTTGGATGAATGCCAGAAACTTAAGACTCCAAAGTCCAAATTGAATACAAAGACAAAAAGCAAGAATCTTATCAGGCCTCCCAAGCCACCATCCCTTTGCATGTCCTTGTTGAGATCAGATCATGTGGCCATACCTGGATCCGTCACCCAGGGGGATGGGATGCACTGACTGGTTTAGGGTCAGGGGGTACATTCTGTCTCTCAGTCAGGAGTGGGGTTCATTCTACCTGAGGCACATGAGCTGAGTGGGGTGAGGGGGGGCTCTCGCCAGGGCAGACATTTAATACAATGACCGCCCACAAATGTGTTCTGTTCTATGTTGCACTCTGTGTCATTAAAGAACCCGAGGAGACTAGACCAGAGCCAGAGAAGAGTGAAAAATGTGTAATGGAGATTTAAAATCCGTCACATAAAGAAGATCTGGAAGAAATGAGTTGCTGCCCAGAGGATAATGGAGAATCACAAGCACTGTCAGTAAGTGCCTGAAGTGGTAGAAAGATCTGGGTTGTCTCTGCCTCCAGGGGTGGTGGATGGGGTCGGAGGAGGGAAGAACTGATTCATGCATGCAGACTGTGGCTCACTAAGTGATATGGGTCAAGCCACCATCATCTCCTGCTACAATGGGCTCCAATAGCCACACAAATGGATGCTGTTATGACTCATTTGTTCCTCCAATTCTGTCCCTACCCTGTAGTCAGAATAACTCCTAAAAGTTCAAATGAATTACTGTCATCGCCCTGCTCAACAACCTTCATTAGCTCCCATTGCCATGATTACCTCTCCCGTGTGCTTCAGTGCTCTGTCCTGCTCACCTTGTTAGCTCATCTCAGAGCCTGCCCCTCTACACTCACACCATACCTGTTTTCTCTCAGAAGTGCCAAAGACATTTCCACCCCGTGGCCTTTGCACTTGCGGTATGCTCTACCTGAACTAGTCTAACTCCCACACCTCATTTCAAATATCCACCTTCCACCTCTGGAGAGAGTTCCCCTAAACAGCCTCTAACAGTCATCACCCCAGGCACCCCCATGCATTCTCTGAACCTGTCCCTATTGCACATGATACCACACTCCTCACTTTCCAAAGCTATCTTACTTGTATTGTTTATGTATTAACATAGGGACTATCTTCTTTCACAAGATCAAAATGCCCTGGAAATAGAGATCTTGCTTCCTTTGTTCACTGCTGTATCCCCTGTGCCTAGACTATCTGGACTCAGATATTTTGTCAGGCAAATGCACAAATGGATCATTTCTACAGCTGTTTGGCCTGATAAGGTGGCAGACTTCTAGCACTTGAATGAATCATAGGGGACTAAGTAAGAATTTATCAGAGATGGATTTCTGTGTTTGGGGAAGCAGGAAACATGTCCCAGGGTCCCCAGATGCAAGGAACAACTGATGAGGTCCCACAACAGATAAAAGACAGCAACCTTGGATACAATTCCTCTGCTCTCACCACATGCCAAATGGAAATTTCTTCCTAGCCCATACTGCTGGTACCGGGTGTTTTTTAATTAAAGACACTCTTTGAGGAATTGTGTTAATCCTGCCAGTACCTGACTTTCTAATTCCCTCTGTCTCACTGTGAAGGGAAGGCATATTGGCTATTCTGGCCCCAACTGAGTTGTTTTCCAAGAGAAGGACTTTCCACGCACAATAATGAAATAGGATACAAAACAGGCCCATGTCAATAAGTCTACAGGAGAAAGGTCAGGTTTACATGCTGGATGGGATTGGCAAATACATTTGTTCCTGCGATGTCTATGTTTTAAATGCCACCCTCCTATGAACCTGGTGCTGAAACACACTTTGGAGTTTGATGAGATGTCAGTTTTGCTCAGTCCTGATCAAATAAGATGAATGAAAGTGAAACAAGAACAAAAATATTACTTCTGTCATTTTTTTTCTGCATTACAGGAACTGGGTCAGTCGGGGAGATTTTTCTTAAACAAATACCAATCCCTGCACAATGTCACCCATTGATCTGCCAGCCATTGCCAATGATCGCTTTCATGGAGGAAAAGGCACACATGAGAGAGGCAAAGGCCAGGGCAGCACCTGAATCATAACATCTCTCACTTCAAATCTTCCAAATCCACCCTTCCAACTTCTATTCCCTCTTCAAATGGTGCTAAATGAGAATATGGATTTCTTTCCGCATTGAGCAACTGTGGTTAAAGAACAAGAAGGAATTTATCCTGCAAAGAATTAGAATCATTAATTTCCCATTTACCCAAATTAAAATATGTGAACCAAATTAAACAGAGACCTGTTTGACCCAGTCTGAAGGCCATGGGGTTATAGCCTCCAGATAAAATTTGAGATCTGGGATGGGAAATAGCAAAATAGCAATTATTCAAAAGGAGTCAAAGACCAGGATCCAGGAAGGTGCATGAAGCAACAGGAGACTGGCACTACGGACCATGTGGGCACTCTGGATCTGACCCCTAGTATGGGGTCAGGATGGGCTTCTGGGGCCCAGCCTGACCAGCACATATGTTTCCCTGTATGGGAATGAAGCCAGCACACAGCTAAGCAGAACCAAGAGAAGAGGAGAGGCAAATTCCTACTAACTTGAGCATCTGGATCCAGCCTTGGCCACCAGTTGGATATGCCAGACTTCTCAGTTACATTAAAACATAAACAACATGAAGACAAGGGTAGCTGCCTGCCCAAGGACCTTGCAAGGGATCTTAAATCCATAAGGACTAGGAACACTTCTGTTGGAAAGGGAGGCTGACCCTCCAGGGGCAAGTTCACATGAGCTCCTGCACCTCTTCTTCCATGGGTCCCCATTCTCCCAGCTAGACCAATGAAGAACTCCAGGGGGGACAATTACTAAGAATGAGGTCCTGCAGAAACAATTATAGACCCTCTGGTAGGTTAGTGGGTTTATTCTACTCTTTCTAACTTTAACGATCACCAAGGATCACCGTGGACAGAGGATGCTTTCCATGTGCTGTGAACAGAAAGTTCGCAAAATTCTCTCTGGAGATACAGGCATGCAATCTCAACCTTGAAGGGCAGTTTCCTTTCTCACTTTGGTATCCCTGGTGCCTAGTGTATGCCTGGCCACATAGCTGATGACTGTGTGTGTGTGTGTGTGTGTGTGTGTTTGTGTGTGTGTGTGTATGTGCGCGCACGCGCAGGCACACACGAGTGAGTTTAAATGAAAGTGCAGGGATTTTCTATCAGAATCCCCTGCTACCCATGGGAAAATACAGGCTTAAAAACAAAATAATTATCTGAACCATGGAGCTCAAAGCAGAATATTTAAAGATAATAGGTATCTTCTATGAGAACTGGGTCTAAGGATTCTGGGGGTGATCAGAGCACTGATTTGGTTTCCCATTGTTGCTCCTAAGTGCTCTAGAATTTTTCTTTTTTGGCCAGACCTTCTGAATAATAATATACAATTCATTGTCTTTTTTTCTTAGCAAATTTGCATTTCAACTTTCCTTGTTGAGTGATGGACTTCCTACTATTCCATTCAACTGATACTAGACCCCAGGGGATTGAGCCTAGAGAAATACTTGATGCCACGATTTTCAGAAGAACCTGCATCTCTGGGCTGGTGGATGGAGTGCAGGAGGGACCCTGAGAACAGAAGTTTCTGATAATGGTCAAAGACAGAACATAAGGAGCCACTTGGAATGGTGCAGAGAAATGTCCTGGGGACAGGGGATTCTCCACCTCCCCCGGTAAGGTCACTCCCACTTTCTGCTTTAAAAGTGGGTTTTGCAGAACAGGAGTGGGGGGTGGCTGAGATGGGAGGGTGACTTATATCTAGTTCCCTGGTGAATAGTAGGAAACAGAGAGGTACCTGGGAGAAGCTAACTAGGGAGTGAAGGCAGCAGGGACAGACAGAGGAAGGACTTGAATGGCTACACAAAGCATTGGGGATGGGTTGGCCTTTCTGACTTGTCCTGCCTCAGGTTCAGGGGACTTGGCTGTCATAACCTAGCAACAAGCCTTTGGGGGCAGCCAGTACCTCCTTGTCCAGTAATGCCTGGAAAGCAGCCAGCTGACATCCATCAGCTTCCAAACACCCAGAAATCAGACAGCCAGTGCTACAGTCCTGATGGGGAACCTGGGTAGTGACCCTAGAACCCCCCAAAGACAACTCTTCAAAGACTATAACACCATTCAGATCTACTCACTTTATACAACAAGTTCTTGGGACAGTTTCTCCAAGATTCTGATCTGCCTGTTTTGCAGGGGAAACTCACAAGAAGAAGGTTATTGGAAAGATCTTTTATTTTTTATTTTTTTAATTATTATTTTTTAATTTTATATATTTTTACATCATTTTTCATTTTTTGCACAATGCGTGCATTTTCATCTTGGTTATAGTCTCCATACAATTCCTACCCCCCTTTGTTTTGATCCTATTCCTTCCTCCCACCCCCAATAGTGTGTCTCTGGGTTATAGTTGCTTGTTAATTTTGATTTTTACTTTATTGCAATTAGTCTCTTTCCTCGTCCCTTATTTAGGTTTTCTAGATTCCTGCTATGAGTGAGACCATCTGATATTTTTCTTTGTCTTTCTGGCTTATTTCACTGAGCATGATCCCTTCCAGCTGCATCCATGTTGCTGCAAATTGCATGAGTTTATCTTTTTTGAATGCTGAGTAATATTCCAGTGTGTATATGGACCATATCTTCTTGATCCAGTCATCTATTTTGGGGCATTTGGGTTGCTTCCATAGCTTAGCTATTGATCTTGTCACTAAAAATCCTGCCACTGAAGCTAATCTTAAGACAAAACTGATACTCATTGCCTTCCTTCTCGGCCCATTCCAGTCTCCCTTTGTCCTTGGACTAGCATTTCCACTGGCCTGAGTGGCTTTCCAGATAGCTAGCCCAGGATTTCCTCCCTGTGGGGTCCCATGTCCTCACCAGACTGAGGATGCTGGAGTTCTTTGTCACCAAAACTGAGTACAGAACTACAGAGAGACACATCCGCGGATGCCAACCATAGTATTTTCTGTTCCCATTTGTTTTTTTTTTTTAAAGATTTATTTATTTATACATACAAGAACTGGGGTACAGACCAGAGGTGCAGGGGGTGAAAGGATTCACCAGAGACTGAACGGGAAGCAGAACAGGCAGATCGACTGAAACACACTGCTGAGGGGAGCAGCAGGAAAGACAGGAGAGGTCTGCTACGCCTGTGGGTCACCTCCCTGGCCAGGGATTGAACTGCTGCTGCAGTGGCTGCAAATAGCTTCATAGTGCTGTGACTTAATCCCTTAAGCCACCATGGAGGCCCTTCTCTTCCCTTTTGTAATGTCAGCCACCCACTGAAGCCATTGCACCCATTGGCCAGGGTCAGTGCCCCTCCAGAATTGTCTCCTCTACACCCCTATTTGTCAGAGTCCAGACGGCAGTGACTGCTCAAAGGTGAACGGGATTTGTGGTATGTCTTCTCATGAGAGCATCATTCCCCTTTCAGAACTAAGACAGCCCCATGCATTGTAGTTGAGACTGAGTTCATCTGCTCTTGCAAAAACCCCACATTTGGCATATACCTACATTGGGACTACTCCCTGGTGGACTTAGTTCATCACTGGACATTTTCATCCTCTGGGTCCTGTCTGGATTTTATAGGATCCAGATCTGTGATTCAGAAGACGATGGGAAATATACCTGCATCCTTTACTCTTTAAGTGTAGCACTAATTTCTGCCATTCCTCAGGTTTGCAATTGCTAAATTAATATTAAATGCTAAATATTAATTTGGTAATTAATATACTTAAGAGGCTTCCTCTTGGTCTTCCTGCTATGTTAATTCTACAAACTTACTCCCCACCCCTGGTGTGCTGCCGATCACCATGTAGATCTGGGGAAATGGCTCCTGTGGATCTATTGGATCCAACATAGTTTAGACCTGGGTCAGGGCTCCACTTAATGCTTGGACCCCGGATGGAGTGCTTTAATAGAAGGATCACAATGGTGCTTTGAGTCCCTGCAGTGTCAACTCAAATCTTGTGTCCCATCCAGTGTTTAGACATCCCTTTTTTCTCAACAAATTGCTAAATCTCCCTTTCTAGAAGAGCTGGGTGAATCACTTCTGTCCTCATTGCTGGGGACCTGGCTTTGTCTTCAATCAGTTAAGTTCCTTTAGCTAGTCAGATGCACACCTACTCCGTAATTTTGTTCTGGGACCACTGCTCCCACACTACTGTTGGTTTCTTTCGACCGTGTGGGTTGAGTCACACAGTTGATGACTTTCCAGCTACCCTGCCCGGAGTGCTGATCCTATTAGTTATCTCCATAGTTTTCCAAGGATCATGCCCCCTTGGCTGCTTCCCTAACCTGCCACTTATTGCAATATCTGCATCTGTCTTGTTTCTGATTGTTGAGTGCTGCCAACCATTACCAGCCCCTGCCTTCACTGTTGTCTGGAGAGTCTATTATTTCCACTGCAATCAAGGAGTTCAGCACCATAACAGCATTTTCCCTCACTAGCCAGGGCCACAGAGCTCTGCCCGCCCTGAACTTCTCCACAACGCCCATGTCCCTCTTGCTTGTGTTTTATCACTTAGGTAAACAGTGTCTTCTGTTCTCAACTGCCAAATATAACCATCTAGTAAACTTGTGGGCTTTATTTACTATATCAACTCTAGATTGCCCAATTCCATAAACATTTGATCCCTTTTTTCAGAATTGCCCTAGAAATTCTGGTATGTTTATGTAGCATGGACTCTCATTTTATCCATGACTTCAGGGGCCATATTGGTGAGTTCTCACCCCTGTTGTCCGTCAGATGCAGGACCCTCAGTCCATCATACTCTCCTATCTCTTGCTGGGACAAGTTGGCTTCTTCCCATTTAGTAGGCCCAGGGCTGGCTTTGACAGTTATGTTGTGACTTAATCCTTATAAGATGTCTGTTGGCAACAAGATAAGTGGAAGGTAGAGCCTGGGGGGATGGGGCACATTTTCTTGCAAAGCAGATTCTCTCCGTTATAATCAAAAGAGTTGACGTGCTACCCTTTAGTGAGTGACGTGGGCCACACTCGCACCCAGAGTGTGTTAAGGGATTGTGGATTCAAGAATTTTGGATGCCAGGTGTCACCACCCCTCCATCCCAGTGCCCCACCCCTTCCTACCCTGACTCTTGCTAAGCACATTTATCAAGGTTGAGAATTCAACCACTCCTGAACCTTTGATGTGCTGATAATTCAAGATGGGGTCTGGCCCCTTAATTTTTCATATTCTTTAACTGCAAAGGATGAGAAACTCTTTCATATACAGCCTAAGACACCATCTGTCCTTCAACTTAGTCTTTGATTGGCAGACACCCTCTGATACTCATTGTCTTTTTCCAATGCATGGATTCTCACAAGAGCCATCTGCACCCAAAGGCCTTGCAATTTCTACTTTCCTTACACTTCTCAACAGTCTGAGGTTTTGGTCCTTGCAGTATATTCTCTTCCACTGTTGGCTCATCCTATAATTAAACCACTGAAGCATTCTGGGGGCCATTCAGCTCCCTGCGCTCTACCGACACCCAGTGCTGGTGTCTGGTGTCAGTTTCTTAGCAGGTGCCCCAGCTCCACGCCCCATCCTGGAGTCTGCTTCCTCACACTGCTCTTGGCACCACTTATCTTAGATTAAGTTTTCAGGGAAATTGTCTCTGAGATGGAGGTTTGTCCACAGGAAGTTTACTGAGGAATACCTTCAGGGGAGTGGAAAAAAAATTTTGTGCAAAAAAAAAAAAAAAAGGGTGGAACGCTGTGGATGCAGTCACACAAAAGCCTCAGCCAGTCTCTCAGAGATCTGGTGCAGAGATCATGATCCTTGTTCCACCTTGAGGAACACCATCTGGGGGCAGTCCCTGTGAAGGGGGCATGACCTTGGATTAGTGGCTTTCTTCATCTGGGGGCAATTCCTGGAGAGCAATTCAGCTGAGCTCTAGCTGCCAGTGCACTGCTAGCAACTGGGAGGAGGGGCACCCCTGTTCTGAAGAAGCAACTGGGATGGCCGATCACAGCACCCACTCCAGAGAGGATTATCTATTTCCAGGAGGTAGATTCTTATTTTCCTCTCCCTCATACATTATGTCTTATTCAAAATATAAATTTGAAGGCTGGGCAGAAAACATTCATTCTCTGTTCCTGATCAGTCCAGAGGTGACATGAATTCTGCAAAATCACTTAAGAGTTTGTAAGTGAGAAGACTGGTTATTTTTTAAGTGTGGCGGTGACTTATACTTGTTCAACAAAACCCACTTCTTCTTGGGCACACAGTAGATTAATTCCTGGCCTCTTTGGCAGTGGAGTGTGGCCAGAAGACTGAGCTCTGGCCGATGAGATGAAAGCAAAATTGGTTACTTGCTGTCCTGGGCCAGGAAAGTCTTTCCACACACAATCCTCTCTTCTCCTGTCTTCCTGATGAATTTAAAGGATGCAGCCTGGTGGCCCAGGATCACAGAGGACAGTACAATTACATGAAGGATTCGGTGTCCTTGGTGATTTCATGAAATCTTGCCAACCCAATACCCACAGTGCATTACATGAGCAAGAAATAAAATGCTACCATGTTAAACCACTGAGATTTTAGTTTGTTTATTATAACAGTTTGCCTGCCTGGACTAAGACTGTAAGTTGTCCTGGGATCTCCAAGGGCCATAGTTTTTTACGAAAGTGTTGCTATATTAATAACAGATCACACAATGGAAAACAGAAAAAGTTCAATCAGCCTAATCTGAACATTTCGATCTCACTGGCCATCTCTTCCAGGTCTTGGTCTTCAGCT